AGTTTGTGAACAATAGTTCCTTCATTATTAACACATTCAGGAGCAAGTCAATGTTGAGATATGCAGCTAGTGTACATATGAACACAATATGAACACTTGTGAACAATTCTTTAACAATTACATATGAATTCGAATTTCGATTGTAGTCGTAGACGATTTTAACCTTTTCATTCTTATTGTTGTCGATCTGTTTTCCAATAGGTTTATCCATATTACTCGGACGATATCGAAATCTTTACAATCGGAAATTCTTTAACAATTACAAAATCAATATCATTATGGATAGAATAAATCGAAATTACAAAACATGAACACGTATAAAAAAATATCAATATTACATAATCATCAATTATTGAGATTTTTAVATTTRTAACTCCCAATTAATGATTTGGGAGTTACATAAATGACAAATTACTTAATTACCCTTGTCATTAATATATGAGTTATATGTGAACATAAAGAAAAGATGAAATATGATTGGTTGAGCTTGGTTAACAAAGTTAACACAAAAATCTTGATTAGTATTTGAACCAAGCTCTCTCTTTCTATATATATATATATATATATACATACATACATGTGTGTGTGTATATATATATATATATGTATATGTATATGTACATACGTATGTGTGTGTGTATATATATATATATATGTATATGTACATACGTATGTGTGTATATATATAGAGAGCTTGGTTCAAATGTTAGCTCAAACTATTGTGTTAACCTTGTTAACCATTTTCAACCAATCACAATCCATTTTAGTATTAGATTTCTATCAATCTTAGAACGAATCCCTTGGTGGATAAGTCCAACGACTCAGCAGTAGTGCGGAATTTTTCTTTCTCGTCTGCTAGATCTGATCTATAGTTAACAAGGGTACATATGTAATTTTTTTTTGTAACTCCTATATCATTAATTGAGAGTTACAAAATCATAAAATCCCATGATTTGTGTTAACTTATTATTAATTTTGTTATTTTTTCTAATATTGATTTCTATCTCTAATGTTTATGAATTTGTGATTGGTGGAGGAGACCCGGTAGTAAAGTTTTCGGTATCGTTCAAATTGACATATACGAAAGATGATGAATATGTGTGACCATATGAACACAAATTCACATATGAGAACATTCATACAACCATATAAACATAACTCGACATATATGAACCATTATGTCAATTACGAACACAAATTGACATATATGAACACTTTGTGTCAATTATGAAAACAAATTGATCTATATGTACAGTTGATATAAATATGAATACATATTGACCCAAATGAACATACGAAAGATGATGAACATGTGTGACCATATGAACACAAATTCGCATATATGAACATTCATACGACCATATGAACACAACTCGATATATATGAACCTCTGTGTCAATTACGAACATAAATTGACATATATGAACCCTTGTGTCGATTACGAACACAGATTGACATATATGCACACTTATGTCATTTATGATTTTTTTTCCATATACACCCCTGTTCGCATATAAACAATTCTCATGAATATCGAATATTTGTTCACATATGAACCATTAACAAAAAAAAACTGTAGAAGAATCTGGTGTCGATTGCTTTTGATTCGATAACGAGATTAATTCCCGGATAGCTACATTGTTAGTAATGGACAGTTACAAAACATCTCATTGTCATTAATGGACAACTAAAATCTTTTCCTAAAATACCCCTTGTAAATATTTTTTACTTATGTTACCTTGTCTATGTGTGCAATTAATTACACTTTATGTCATGAATGATCTTAGCCACAAATTTCAAAGATCAATGGTCAAGATTGGTTAACAAAGTTAACACAATAATTTGGGGTATATATATACATGTGTGTATATATATATATATACATATACATATGTGTATGTATGTATGTATGTATGTATGTATGTATATATATATATATATATATATATATATATATAAGGACTGAATTCTGGTGAGAATGAATGTTATGATGAGAAATGTAAGAAAAAAATCTATACCCTTGGGTCAATTATAATTGAAGAGCAACAGTAATGAGACACACAAGTGCACCGGATTAATTCCGTGAGAACCACAATTCATAGGGTAGAAATTAGATTAAAAGTGATTAAGGATCTATATAACTTCCCATGCTTTTCAGCTTAACTCTTATTCATCGTTCGTCAATATATTAAACCCTAAACCCTATATAAATATATAATATTTTATGATATTGTTTTTATTTGATACTTCATATGTAGTAAAAAAAATTAGAAAAATATATAAATAATCACTCGAAAATTCGGTTATAGGTGAGAGACTTGAGAGTATATAAATACTTGGGTGATGTGAAAAAAATGTTTTATACGACTTAAAACGTTAATAACCCACATTGATGCGTGTAATTTTTGTTGAAATTACATAAAACAATGCAATTAAAATTATCATGAAAGTTCAAATTCGAGCATCTGATAAATATAATGGTTTGTTCGGTTTATGTGAAAACTAATGTTTTATATGAAACAAAACTTTATTATTCGTATTTTTAAGTCATAACAGGCGTCGGCATGATTTTTACCAAAACTATATAACAATTTTATGTGTTCGTTTATAGAAATTACCTAAAAAAGATAGTCGCTATACTATCTGGGGCGACCACCTGCTTTGCAGATATCCCAGAGTCACCGCATTTGAACCTCCGTGGCCACAAGGGGATTTTTATTCCTCCTTGGATTTGAACTTGAGACCTTATGATACTTTTGACCTTTGGTGCCAAGCTCAAACCAATCAGGCACCACCCTTGTGGTTTAAGGTCCGGTTTGCATACCACGGGGAGGGATATACACAGATAATTTGGTTCGGTTCATCAAATAGATATTTTAACATCATATACAATCGTGCGTTGTAAGTTTATTCAACATCATTGGCGCTATTGAACAAAATCTGTTAATTTATGATTTTATACTGAACTTTTTGAATGTCACAACAAAAAATAGTAGGGAATAGCCACACTTGTTGGTAGAGATGGGCCCGGAAAAGTCGAAGAAAACCTGGATTGGTCAAAGCAGTCCACGAAAATCCCGGTTGATGGTTTGGTCGGGTCAAGTCTCATGTAGAGATGATTCAATGTATTATGATTGATCATGTTCTTGTGTGGAATGACTTGCAATTTCTCATGGAATTCGAATTCGAATGAGATAAACGATGGTTGTTGAGGCAACAAGTCGGACCATTTTGAGCGTGCTTTTGGTGGCCGTTGGGCCATCCAACTCCGAGTTATCAAGAATGTGAGATGGGTTGTTGTGATTCAAGATGCAGAACCCCATTAAATTATTCTCTAAAAGAGCCCTTTAAAAAAAGAAGAAAGTTCCAACATATATTGAGAATAAATGGTCCACATCTAAATGATATGAGAATCTAACAATGCTAATGTGTTCTAGTAGCAAGATTTCAACAAATGAGTCCAAGATAACCTTACCAGATCAAACGTATACAGTATATCCCACTTAAAAGTAGATATGTCAAACATATACAATATATCCCACACGTATACAGTATATCCCACTTAAAAGTAGATCTCAAATATATACAATATATCCCACTTAAAAGTAGATCTGTCAAAATATACAATATATCCCACTTAAAGTAGATCTGTCAAGGATGTATGCAAACATTCCTTAGACCATGGGGTAGAGAGGCTATGATACCAACCCAAGATTCAATTAAAATTCTATCAAGATCAAGATTCTATAACTTTGTACTTTTGCCATTGTTTTCAAAGAAATTTGTCACAATAACTAGAAAGCATACACGGGTATCGCTAATTTTGGATTTCGGTGCAAACCCAGAATCACAATATCAAGATTCTGTAACGTGTATTGTGTCATACATCGGTCAAACGTTTTCAAAGAATTATTTGAAACCGACAATCCCAGGTTAGTTCTAAAAGATCTGATCTGGGATTTCAACAAGAATTAGCAATACAGAAGAATCTAAGCAAGATTAATGGAAGCGTGTAAGAATTACTTGTTATGTAGCAATGGAGACAATGGTTGCCTTGGTGAACTAGTAGCATCACTGAAGTCGATTTTCTTCTCAATCGGGCTACTCTCCTTTGGACACGGACTAGATTTTCGCTTATGGTTCTGCACCATAAAAGAAACATCAGATGAAAACCAAACCAAACCAAACCAAACCAAACCAAACCAAACGAATCCGGTATATCCCCATCTAGAGGTAGGCAGTAACAGATCCAGGAGTTTTGGTGGTAACAAGGGTCAGAATTCAATCTATAAAATTTTGGGGGTCAAAAGTAGATTATATATATATATATATAATCAAATTTTGCGCATAGATCCGCCCTTGGAGGTGGGGAATGTGGAGGGTAAGATGTATGCAAGAATAGCTAGATATATGCATATCTGACCTCTATCTAAAGAAAAACATGAGATGAAAAGAGCATTTCTTTATTTCAAATTCAAATGAATTATTGTGGGTTTATTACCTTGATGGATGCGCTGCTACGCTTTCCTCCAGAATCAAGAAGGTGTCGTTCTTTTTGGAGTAGCTTCATCAACCGCCTGTTTTCCTTATCTAGTACGTTGTTTTCATCAAACAAGACTGTAACCTAAGCCACATCCAAGTCGCTTCAAGTTATTTGATATCTTAATATTTTCATGCTATTATATTTTATGAGAAGAAATGAAGACTGGTTGTGGAATCTGTTTACTCGATGTGACGAAAGTAAGGAACTTAGCAAGAGGCACACAAAATGGAAAACGAAGGTAAAATAAACAAAAGACCCCATCAAAGAGTAGAGAAAACATGAGCTCTACCTCAAAGAGTAGAGAAAACAAAGGTAAAATGTTGTACAAAAATAACATTGCTTGTTATAAGAATTAGTAACCAATTCATTTTCTCTCGTATGGTGCATAAAAAACAAAGATGTGATTGTAGGTCCCATTTACTTAATTCCAGGAGACTTGGATAATCAAACCAAACAAGCCCAGTATCTCCCATCCGGAGATGGGGTCTAAGGGTCGGATGTATGGAGACCTAACCACTACCACAATGAGTAGAGGGCGGGGGAGAGCTTGGATGGTGCCCACAGAGCAGGAATAAGGGTGATTGTGTAAACAAATTCAAAGAAAGAAAACAAAACGATTGATGATATTTGGATCATTCTACTTGGTACCTTGTTTCAAAACTATCAACATACTTGCAAAAGTTAAAAAATCTCCGGTTAGCAAAAAATAGTGAAAAATTCACAGCCTGGGCACATAGGAGTGTTTTCTTGCTGTTTTCTGCAACTGGGGTTTTTGTTGTTTGCATGGCTGACAAATGTTGGTTGTTTTAAAACTAAGTGAAAACTATAATGGTTCAAAATGCTAATGTAAAAGATACATTTAACAATTAGATCAGCTAAACGGGCATTGAGAGCGTACCTCCTCTTCAGCTTTCGTGAGATTAATCCTTAAATGGTCTTTATCTTCCTGCAACTTCTTGACCTCAGAAGCCAGACTCAAAACTGCCCGTGCTGATGGCTTCAAGCTACATCCATATACAATGAATATTAGTACATTGTGAAAGTAGCCTTAGTGAGTTCGTGGAAGCTATCTACATATAATCAAGAAAATGAAGGAAGTGGCTAACCGATCCCATCTTTTTAACATCTTTTGACACACATCGACTCCAATATTGGCCTCTAAAAACGAGTGTGCCGTTGATGCAATTTCCTCCTTGTTGATCAAAGTTGAGAGTAATGCATCAATAAGAAGATGTTCTGTAGATTCGTTGTCTGTCGGCTCACCAACCTTTAATCAAGAAGCACATGTTATGATATCAGGACCAAATAACACCACAAAATCACAAATCATAAATGCAAAGGTTATTGTTCTTTAGGATACCTTTTGCACGTTTGACTGCTGCTTAAAATACTGCAGTTCTTCTGACAATTTGCTTAATTCCTCCTCCAAATAATGAACACGCAACTCTGCCTCCTTTGCCCTTTCATCGGCCTCGTTTCCAAAGTCCATCAAAGCTTCTCGATCACGATCATACAATGAACACTCCTTCTCCCACTTTGTACACTGACTTAACAAGTTATCACATTCCATGGCCAATTTTTGATTTTCTTCTACAAATCTCTTTACAGCTTGTGCATTCATACTTGCTTCAGCCTAACAGATGAGAACAAATGAACCCTCATCAATTACAACATCTTAAGAGAAGTTCATTCTTCTCATTATAAACCCATATTGCGAAATCGACAATTTAACAAAATGAAAACATACTTCCTATGCTGCAAAAAAAGAGACACATGCTCTTTCTTTTTCAAACCCGAAAAAAATTGTAACTTAATGGCACATCGAGAGATTCCAGGAGTAATCCATACAATATGGATTTAAGCCAAAAACACTGTTACCTATATCCTCTATCCAGACCATGTTAACTTTCATTGTGTAACACGTAACATTTCAAGTTCTACTTACATATTTAACACCCACAAGTTAATATTTAACACCATTTGCTATAAAAATTGACAAGGTTTCAGGTTTCTTTGCAACAGGTAGAGTACCATAATAAACTTATCATCATCGATGCATTTGCTACAATTCACAATTGTGTGTGTATCCGTTATTTTCCCGTTGTAGTACCGAGGTATGTAATCAGATTCCCTCCCCTTTAGTATCAATTTATTCCTACATGATCCATATACGGACTCTTGAGAAACCCAATGCCTTATTGTATTAGAAAGAATTCTACTCCAACTAAAAAATACAAACAGCTTTAGTTTCAAGGATTCCCGAAATGGGATTCTGAACTTACTGAAATTCCTAGAAAAATAAATGATTAAAATCAAAAACCATATTGAAACAAGCTTCAGTAAAACGTAACTACATCATCTGCAACTGATTAGGCATGGAAAACCCTAATCAACAAACTTAAATAGTGTTAAATTCATATGAAAATGGTCCTCCGTAACATACTAAAAACAGAAAACCCAATCGAATCAAGGTCCAATAAATCATACAACCCTAAAATATTCCAACCGAAAATTGAAATGTAAAGGGCACAGAGAACACTAACCCTAACACGATCGATGGTTTTATCTTTCTCCATCAATTTCGATTTCAAATAGAAACACTGATCACGGCTATGCCTTTGTGCTTCTTCGGAGGATCGAAGCTTTAACTCCAGAGTACGTGTAGATACGGGAAGGCCGAGCGAATACTCTATCGATTCCCGTAAGTAATCATCGATTTCTTGAGGAAGATCCATTCTTGAGTGGTGTGATTGTGTTCGTGATATTGAAATCCGTCGATTCAAAAGAGTTGAATGAATCCAAAGGTTGATTTTTGTATAAATTCACACACACCAAAGAAGAGGGTTTGGGGGTCTGAAGATATTTGAATTTGGGGAGAGCCGTTAGAAAACATACTTCAACTTTAGCCCCTCTATTTTAGAGTAAGTGCTAGTTTTACCCCTAGAAGTACGTTATTCTAAGGAAATATATGTTTCAAATGCCAAATTGCATGAAAATGTATGTAACCTACTTCTTTTTAATTATTGTTTTGAGTAACGTATTTTCAAAACATTCATTTTAGTATTAAGTTAAAAGGGCTGTCGGTGACATCTGAAAACTCGATAACCTTTTAAGGCCATCTTTGCAGTGGCGAACCTAGAAAGTAAATACAACATTTCAACGTAGAAAAAGTCAATTATCGATCTGGGAATAAAATTAATTTTCCCAAATGTAATCGACCATTCGAGCAGAATTATTCGATGTCTTTTAACTGAATTTTAACTGGAACAAACCTCGTTTAGTTTGATTTTGTAATTTTTTCCAATTTTTAGAATTTGATCATCATTATCATCTACTTCTTTTTCTAGGTTTTCCATTTTGGTTCCTTAAGCATTTAGGACTTTTAAAATACATTAAGATCTTTATTAAAAAAAAAAAATAAGACAACATTGAAGTTTTTGAGAAAACTAAAATTATATTAAGAGGCTGTTTGATGGTTACTGAACGGTTTAATGCAGAATGATTAAGTGATCAGAAAAATTAAGAAGCGTTTATGATATAATACAAAATGAAATATAATTATTTGGTAATCTATACTATCTTATAAAACATTTGGCTAAAACTCTTAAAAACTCTTAAACCCGTTCATCCATTTTCGATTTCATCCCATATCTGAATTCGTGTAACTAACTGCAGATAAACACAATCAAATACAGGATAAACATCTCATTTTAAATATAAATAATCTAAAATATAATTAGGATAATCATTGAGTTCTAACAGAATATTTAATTATTATCTTTATAAAATGTTATATTATTAAAGCAAAAATAAATTATTTCATTATTAAACTTAAATTA